ATAATCTCCTACCTCTTTTGTCTGTAACTCACTATTGTCTATTTGTTTTCCTGAGAAACTATTTTGTAGACAATAATATGTAAAATGGTAACCATTGATAATTTCCTACCATTTTGTCTGTAATTTGCTAAGTCCCCCCTATTATTATGTTATCCTTCTTTTATTCTTTAAAATTAAAAAAATAAAATAAAATAAAAGTGAACTAATATAATGCTAAGAGTGATGACATAGTTATCCACTCCTCATTCATTCTGGATGTGCAGAAAGAGTCATACGATGCTCAGGCAGGAATGCATATTGTGAATTCCTGAGAGAGCAACAGAGCCCTGTCAAGGGACACAAGGGTATCCTGACCCCATCCCGCCAGCACTCTGTGACATCACTGTCACAACTTGCTGACCCTTGATATAACACATGAAAATCAAGGGATGAAAGCTAACTAAGAGTGTTACATAATCTTCCACAATTTTCATGTTATTAAAACAATACTTTAAAAAACTTTGCAACATTTTTCCACATATATTGTTTCCCACCCAGTGGTGTCTATATTTGAGTATCAAAGTATTCTCTTTTGGACCAAGAATGTGCATTTTAATTAAATTTAACTCCCTGAGAGCCAGGCATATAGCTCAGCTGCACAGCACCTTCCTGGCAAGCATGAAGTTCTGAGTTCGATTCCTGGTACCAAAAAACTAAATAAATAAATTAAATTAACTTTCTGAGTCATTGTAATAGGAGCAATAAAGTCACTTCCAATTAGTTAAGAAAGTGTTTCCATGCCTGGGTTTCCTGTGGGGGAAAACTATCTGTTCAACATTGACTAAGAAAAGACAAAACAAGCTGTGATACGTCGTCTCCCTTCCTCCCTGTCATACACATCTCCTTTTCTAGAGAAACCACTAAATACGATGAAAGCAAGAGGGCAAATTTTTCAGTTAGTCAAAGAGATAAAATATCTTACAAGTCAAAGGTTAACTCAACACATCACAATTCAAAGGCACATGGCAGAATGCCTCACAATATCCTTGTGATTTACAACTTAGCATTACAGTTAAGGGTCTAGGGTGTCAGCTACATCTGTCTTCTTTTATTCACTGAAATATCTCTAGGATATGTGATGCTCAATAAATATTTGGGCTGGGCGTGGTGGTGCACGCTTGTAACGCCAGCACTCGGGAGGCTGAGGCAGGAGGATTATTCTGAATTTGAGACCAGCCTGGGCTACAAAATGAGCTCAAGGTCAGCCTGAACTGCATAGTGAGACCCTGTCTCAAAAAAGGGAAAAAAATAAACAAACAAATAAATATTTGGTGAAGAGCTAAAAAAAAAATACAGTCTAGCATAAATGGTGGCGCACACCTGTGATCCCAGCACCAGAGAGGCTGAGGGAGGAGGATCATTGCGAGTTTGAGACCAGCCCGGTCTACAAAGTGAGCTGAACTGCATAGCGAGACCCTGTCTCAGAAACAAAAATAAATAAATAAAGACGGCAGTGGCTGGCTAACCTACTTTATAGAATGTCTAGTGTGGGCATTCACTTAAAAACTCATTTGCCAAACCTGGTGTAGGCAGAAAAGTTGCAAATTTGAGTCCAACCTGGACAACTTAGCGAGACCCTGTCTCAAAAAAAAAAATTTACAAAGGGCTGAAGTTGTCAGTTTAGTGCTAACGGCCCTAGTTTCAGTATCATTCCAAAAATAAATAAATAAAACTTATGCCAAGGGCCAAATACCACAGAATTATAGATCTTCTCATCTACTTTGAGATTGAAATTTACCAAACTTAAAAGCACACCAGCACAAGACAAGACTGCCTTTAAAGGGCTGAGGATGTAGATCAGTGGTAAAGTGTTTGCATAATATGTATAAGACCCTGGGTTTAATTCCCAGCATCACATGGGCGTGGTGGCACATACCTGTAATCCCAGCACTTGGGAGGCTGAGGCAGAAGGATGGTTGCAGAGTTTGAGACAAGCTTGGGCTACAAAGTGAGCTCAAGGCCAGCCTGAACTGCAGAGCAAGACCGTTACAAGACAAAAAAAAAAAAAAAAAAAAAAAAAAAAAAACAAAAAAAAAAAAAAAAAAAAAAAAAAAAAAAAAAAAGTAAGGGGGAGATAGGCTGAAGGTAGAAATTCCCTATGATGAATGTGACCATTACGTATACCTAAAATGTACCAATAAATTTAATTAATACAAAAGAATTTTGCATAGGCTTGGCATATAGTATATGCTCAAGAGATTTTACCACTGCTGTGGCTGCTACTACTACATCACTGCCACCTCCACTACTGTTACCTATTAAGGAGTAGAATTAGAAGTCACCAGCTGTTTTCCCCTCCATGCCTCAATTCTTGACTTGAAAAACTTAAAAAAGGAAAAATGTTTTTGTAAAAAAATGTTTTAAAATAACCTGTTGAAATAGTGCGTTCATTTCCTGTCTCATAAAGAACACCAAGGAGAGATGCAAAGCTCTCCTTACTAAGTGTCCTGTAGGTTTGCCTTGCCCATCCTATGACTCATTCAGCTGAAGATGCACATTCATTTCCCTCCCTGTGTGATATCCCCACTAACATACTCTTTTATGCTACACTAAACTTTACAGTGATAAGACATTTCTCAGGAAAAGTGAACCCCCAAAGAACAACACAATATTACACAAATTTGAATGACCAACAGTAAAAATACTAGCTACAAATATATTACACTGCAATTTCTTTTGGCAGTACTGGGGAGAGAACCCAGGGCTTTGCATATCCTACGCAAGTGCTCTACCACTGAGCTGTATCTCTGATCCTACATTGAAATTTGACCAGAAAAGGTCTAATGGCATCTTCCAACAAGCCACAGACATAACAAAAACATAGCAAATGACTTCACATTTTTCTTAAAAATGAAATTGTATTAAAGAGCATATGCATACATCTGACACAGCTACAGCTACCGTTAGTAAAACTGACATTTTCCAAGACCCTCCAACTTTTATTGTCCTACTCTTATAATCCTGGGATTCTAATCAACACATCTGAGCCCTACACACCACTTTCTGCTGAAGTCTATTCATGTGACAAGCAACTGTTACACGCCTTTGGGGAAGAGACAAGGCACTGTTTTGCCCTTCAAAGACTTCAAAATTGAAAGCTGTGCACCAGGCGTGGTGGCGCAAGCCTGTAATCCTAGGACTTGGGAGGCTGAGGCAGGAGGATCCTTGTGAGTTCAAGGCAAGCCTGGGCTACATAAGTGAGTTCAAGGGCAGCCTGAACTGCACAATGAGACCCTGTCTTCAAAAAGACCAAAAAAAATAATTGAGAGCTGTGAAGGATAAGAGGAAAACAAGTGGAAGCCCTCTGATGAGACTGTGTTCATGCCATTTTGGTAATGTAACCGTGAATGCAACAAGTGAATGCAGTAGGGAAAAAATAAGCAAAGACTCACTACTTCAGTTATCACAACAATGGCCTCATTCCAGCTATGAGTCAAATCAGTTTTACCAAATCTACTATACCTTAGTCCCTGGCCCATAATGGGTACTTAATACTGTATATATGTGTCAAATAAATAAATGAAAGTAAAGAAGGAAGGAAGAGGAAATCTAGCCATAAGCCTTATGAGATCTCTAAGTATGATGAGACAACTGGGGCCAAGGCAATACCTCCTGCCAAAACAAGCACAGAACTACAATTCTAGTCATTCTTCATATACACTAACTGTTGGAACAAACGGTTATGCAATCATTATCCACGGCGACACACCTGAGCCCTGCCCAGGACCCACTAAATCTGAGTCACAAGATGATCATAACCTATAGTATTTCTTCAAAGCAACATTTTTATATATCTTGTGAAAGCAATTTGCAAGTATGTTTTTCTTGGTCAAGAGTCATTCACTTGTGACCATAATCCCATGATGAGAACTGACACTTGATTGACAGATAGGGAGCTAGCCTGCCCCATTCTCTTATCTCCTATTCATAGTCCTCCAGGCAGAAGGGAGCTTGAGGCAGTACTCAGGAGGACTGGATTCACAGTGTTAAAGCCCTGGGCTTGAATCCTAGTTCTACCAGTTCTTTGGTGACCTAAGGTACAGTCCTCAGCCACCATCCTCTGTGTGCAGGAGCTTCCTAATAGTGTCTGCATCACATTCAATGACTTAATGCTGGAAAAGCCCTCTATACAGTACCTGACACATTTCAAGTTACAACATATTCCAAGCCTTTCTGTAAACTTTCGACCTGAAGGGAAAAAAAAGTTACCAAGTTAAAGGAGGAAGTTGAATGCTTCAGCTGAAACTTTCGTCTCATAAATAGCCCCTCCTTAAAACCTGTTGCACTAATTCTCTTTCCAAGAAGTTCCTACTCTGAAATCTGAGTAACCACGTGCCAATTCAAGTTTTTTTTTTTTTTTTTTTCTTTTTGAGACAGGGTCTCACTATGCAGTTCAGGCTGGCCTTGAGCTCACTTTGTAGCCCAGGCTGGTCTCGAACTTGCAACGATCCTCCTGCCTCAGCCTCCCGAGTGCTGGGATTGCAGACGTGCACACCACGCGCAGCTCAAGTTCACTTTCATATCAGAGAAGTTGGAAATTTTCCTCTAGTATAGAAGATATGCGCAGGGTCCCAAGATTTATTCTTTCACAGCTTGATGAAGAAATAAACATGCTCTAAAATTGCAGATTAAGCCGGGTGTGGTGGCACATACCTGTAATCCCAGCACTCGGGAGGCTGAGGCAGGAGGATCCTTGTGAGTTCAAGACCAGCCTGGGCTACAAAGTGAGCTTAAGGCCAATCTGAACTGCACTGTGGGACCCTGTCTCAAAAAGACTAAAATTGCAGACTTACCACTAAAATAAAAGAAATTGCCAGGCATGGTGGTACATACCTATAATCCCAGCAGGAAGGATTGCAAATTGGGAAGCTGAGGTAGAAGGTTTGTAAATTTGAGCTTAGCCTGGGCAAGTTAGAGACTTAGCAAGATGGTAAAATAAAAAAATAAAAAAAATAAAAAATAAAAGAAATAGCCAGGCGTGGTGGTGCACACCCGTAATCCCAGCACTCAGGAGGCTGAGGCAGGAGGATCGTGGCAAGTTCGAGACCAGCCTGGGCTACAAAATGAGCTCAAGGCCAGCTTGAACTGCATAGCGAGACCCTGTCTCAAAAAGACAAAAAATAAATAAATAAAAAGAATAAAAAAATTTTAAAAAATAGAAAGGGGCTGGAGATGTAGCTTGCTGTGAAGGCCCTGGGTTCAAACCGCAGTATTGGGAAAAAAATTATTTTTTAAAAAGTGCTATAGGAAGGGGGAAAAGTTCTGACTAAGGGTTTGAGAAAAACTACTCAGCGGGCATTTGAGCCCTGAGAGGTAGAACAGAATTTCAAGAAGCAGATATGGGGGGACAGGGTCAGCGACATTTCCCCCAGATGAAAGAGCACAAATACAGCCTTTTTATGTCAGGAAGCTAATATTGCTAACAGAGACAGAGAAAAATGCTTGGAAGTTATTGGCCTTGTGAAAGTTAAATTTGGAAATTAAATGACTAATGGTCAAGGAGTTAAAAACCTTTTCCTTATTACGGTTCTTTACTGTATTTTTGGTTCTTTACTGTATTTTTCCTGAGAAGGTAAGCAATTATTTTTGAGTCATAATTACAGTGTGGAACAACATTGCTGGAATAATTCCTAGATATCTCCTTGTGATTGAAGTACTTATTCAGCAAATCTACTATCTACATTTCACTGGGAGTGGTTTCACAACCTCTTTCCTTATAAACAGAGGAAAAACTACCTTGCTTAAAACTTTTCCCAAGTTTTTCTCTACCTCACACAGGATCTCTACGTCTTGTATCTGTCTCTGAAGCTAACTTTTTCAGAAGTAGATTTTATTTATCAACTTTTATACATCATTCTCTAAGCAGGATGAGAATTTTCTCTGAATTTGTACTTTAGCTCCCTCACTGAGATCACGCCCTATACAGCCAAGTAAACGGAACTCAATTTTTGAAGGTATATTTTGCTCGTATTTCACACTGAACAAATGATTGTGGCATTATGAAGTTGATCGTTCCTTCTCCATCAATGTAGACAGATGTCTTTCAGACAACAGAACCTGAGGAATTGGAAACAACGTGCAATTGACAAAGAAGGTTGCTGGGCTACATGTACGGCAATAATGAAGTCAAAGAGAAGAGCATGTTCAGGTTGGTTACTAAAAAGGAGCCTACAGGGGCAGGAATAAAGCTCCACGCCTCTCTGGCAAGTGCAAGGTATGGAGTTCAATTCCCCGTAACAACAACAACAAAAAAGGAAGCCTACAAAAGTTATTAAAGATTTTAGCCAGGCATGGTGGCGCACTCCTGTAATTCCTGCACTCAGGAGGCTGAGGCAGGAGGATCATTGTGAGTTTGAGACCAGCCCAGGCTACAAAGTGAGCTCAAGGCCAGCCTGAACTGCACAGAGACATCCTGTCTCAAAAAGACCAAAAAAAAAAAAAAAAAAAAAAAAAAAAACCTGAAGATTTTATCCATTTTCAAGGAAGCCAAAGGCTATACAAACTTGACACGAATTGCCATGCTTGGTTTGGCCTCTACAACGATTTATAAACTAATCTGTTATCACTTAAATATTAGAAGATGTCACTGAAAACTCTATGGACTATCAACTTTTCTTAAAGAATGTGACGGTCTGGCAGCCTTGGGCTTACATTCCTCTTAGTAGCTACTGGCTGTCCCCTTGGCAAGAAATGCTTCCCAGTGTGCTCACCCCCTGCTACCTGCCTGGTCCCTGCAGGAATTTGTGTGGGCAATTCTTGACTATGCTTTAAAGATCCACCTACATTTAGTTGTCACCAGTTTTAATGTTCTTTCTTAAATTGGGAACATGGTATTAATGATTGCACAATTTATTTATTAGTCAATTCCAATTAAGCAGACTGTCATATTTATGATTCAGGATTACTTTATAAACATTTATATGACTATAAAACAAAAAGAAAAAAAAACACACAAATGCTGGCTGGGTGTGGTGGCACATGCCTGTAATCCCAGCACTCGGGAGGCTGAGGAGGATCGTTGTGAGTTCGAGACCAGCCTGGGCTACAAAGTGAGCTCCAGGCCAGCCTGAACTGCATAGGGAGACCCTGTCTCAAAAAGAAAAAAAAAAAAAAAAAACCTGTCCTTGGTGATCAAAAGATAAGCAATGCAAACCAGGCGTCTGGGTGGACCCCTGTCATCCTAGCACTCTGGAAGTTTGAGGTAAGAAAATTGCAAATTTGAGCCCAGATTGGGTGACTTAGTGAGACCCTGTCTCAGAATAAAAATTAAAAAGGGGCTGGAAATGTAGCTCAGTTGGAAGCTCCTGGGTTCAATCCAAAGTACCAAAATATTTAAATCACGTAATACAGGTAAAATTAAAAAAAATAAAAAAATTAATACAGGTAAAATAATTTGAGGTAAGCAAGTCAAGTGGGATCTAAATAGTCACTAACTAGGCCAGGCATGGTGGCACATGCCTGTAATCCCAGTTATTGGGGAGGCTGAGGTAGGAGGACTGCAAGGCCCAGGCCAGTCTGGGCAATTCAGTAAGACTCTGTAACAAACAGTTGGGGACACAGCTCAGTAGTAAAGGCTTGCCTAGCCAGTGCAAGGCTCGGTTCTCTCTCTTAATACCATAAAAAAACAAATCACTTAACTATTTACATTAACTTGACAGGTTAGTGAAATGCCCACTGAAAGAAAGCATGAGCTTTCACCAGGAAATATTCATTTAAATTATATTTAAATTATCTCCCTTAGAAAAGTAAAAAAAAGAGAAAAGAAGGAAAACATGGTAATTAAGCTTTGTAAATGGGGAGGGGAGGGAGCACTGAAGGGAGGGTAGAGGAATGGGGGAAAAGTTGTTATCAGGTACAGGTACAAATTCTTTTCTGATAAATGTGCTCGTTATTTATATCTGAAATGTATTAATAAAATCTAACTGAAGTGAAAAATAAAACAAAAAAATTATCTCCCTTAATTCAATGCTCGATCACTCTAAGAGCAAAGCTAAATGCACAAAACTTAGCAGTTACTTACTTAACTAGCACTCCTTTATGGTAAAACTCTGTCATGCACGGTAAATAAAAAGAAAACAGGATTTCCAGTTATATTTTGCTGTGAAACACAGAAAGGACACTATTTGTCATGCGCATAGTATCAGAACTAAAATTTTGGAGTCTTCGAAATATTCTGGCAAAAGCAGTGTACTGTAGCTGTTTCCTAATTTGCTCTGCCACCCCCTCGGTGTTCTACCTTCTGCAATTTCTGTGGGAGAGGATGACAACGCACCATCATGCTCACACTTAATCGTTCTAACGCTCAAAAGGACGCCGTGTTGAGCCACCACAGCCATGACACAGCTTTCCCTCCATCCAAGGTCGTCCTGCGGCTCGCAGGCCAAATGCTCCTGGGGAAGATAGCTGCAGCGGTCAATGTGACCACCTGTCCCCTGCTGCCCGCGGACGGCTGTGCGCGGATGCTCGGAGAGTCAGGGATCTCCGAGGCGAGGAGTCCCCGTGACAGTACGTGAGCCGGCTCCATCACCGAAACTGAGACCGCTCGGCTCCGCCGCGAGGGTCCTGGGAGGCCGAGGTCCCCAGGCCCAGGCGGGGCAGCCCCGGCGTGCCGGGTCTCTCTTCGGCGTGCCCCGTTTGCCCAGCACCCAGCGCCCAGGGCCAGCAGAGGCGCGCGATGGGGACGCAACAGCCTCTCCGCCCGGAGCTCCCGCCCCGGCTCAGCGCCTCCTCAGACGTCACCCGAGCTCACCAAAAAGCGTGTCGAGCTGGTACCCTGGTCCACTGCCCCCACCAACGGCCCCAAAACTGCTTTCTTCGTGGATGCCATGAAATCAGCTGCAGGTCTTCGGGCTCTCGCGGCCGGTTTCCCGGGTGACCGCGCCGGGCGGGGGAGGGGAGGGCGGCTGGAGCAAAGAGCGAGACGGCGCGCGGCTGTGGAACGCTCGGACCGCGCTCCGGGCAGCCCCTTTACCCACGCCGAGCCTGCTCACCCCGCCCCTCGGGCTCAGGCCCCGCCCCCACCGCGTTCTCTATGGCTCCGGGGCGTGGCGGGTGGCGGGGGGGGCGCTGTCTGCCGGGCTGGCCAATTAGCAAACATGGAAAGAGGCTGACCGCTGCGCCAGTCTGAGGGCGGTGGGACGTCACGGGGGCGGGGCCCGGGCGCGATGGAGGCGGTGGCCCGCGCAGCAGGTCACGTGGGAGGCCCGGGGGCGACTTCCTAGCCAGCCCGCAGCGGTGCTGGGAGCGGACGCGGCGGGGCCCCGTGGCAGTGAACGCCGCCCGGCCCGCAAAAGAATACACCTCCACCCGCGCCCGCAGAAAAATCCCGAATTGCAGAACTGCCTGTTCCCTCCGCGGGGCTGTGCAGAGCAGGACGTGAGTCGCTGTGCGGGCCGGCCCGGCCTTCCCGCGCTTCCCACGCCCCGCCCACCTCCCCGCCCGGCCCCCATGGGTAACGCTACTAACCTCGTGCGCGGGGGCTGAGCCCAGTGGGACCACCGCGGGGAGCAGCGTGACCCCTCGCCTTTGTGAGCGTTTCGGGGACAAGGGTCGCGGGAGTTTTTCGGTTTAGCATTTGAGCAAAACATTTAAAATCAGTCTCTCCACTGGCCAAGGGGGCGGAAAGCTCAGGGCACCTCCCTGTCCTGACGCGCCCCTGCTCCTCGCCCGGCTGCACGCTGCCCTCCCCTCCTCCACAGGCCACTTCCGCTCCCCGCATTCACTAACTGCTCTGGAGGGGAGCATGGTAGCCAGGGAAGGGTTGTCCTTGACCTTGAGTTTCTTTTGCCAGGACCGTTTTTTGAGTCCTGTGTTCTAGGAGCTTTCAAACTTTGAATCAAGATTTACAGTGACAAATATTTTACATAACTACCTAGGACTTGTGTTTATGCGTGTGCATGCATTTTATTTACTTATATAAGTACGTTTGATATATACTCGTATATATTAAAAATATTTCATAGCTAGAGCGTCATTATAATCCCAGCGCTGGGAAGGTGAGGTAGGAGGATTGCCCGAGTTGAAGGCCAGCCTGAACTACGTAGCAAGACCCTGTCTTGAAAAAACAAGTTTCCTAAACAGTGTCTTACACATTATGTGTTGTGTATTTTTATATTCTGTATCATTTTTTAAAAATACTGATTGAAAACCTAAGTTAATGTTTTAAGTCAGCATACACTCATCGATTTTAAAAACGTTCAACTGGCAAGAGTGGTACATACCTGTATGTAATCCCTGCACTCTGAAAGGCTGAGGCAGGAGGATAGAAATTGCATGTCCGGCCTGGTCACTTTAGCTGCTTAGACCCTCACTCAAATTTTTTTAAAAAACATTCTTTTAAAGGCTGGAGGGCCAAGAGCTGTGGCACACAGCTGTAATCCCAGCACTCAGGAGGCTGAGGCAGGAGGATCACTGTGAGTTCGAGACCAGCCTGGGCTACAAAGTGAGCTCAAGCCTAGCCTGAACTGCATAGCAAGACCCTGGCTCAAAAAGACGAAAAGGAAAAAAAAAAAAAAGAAAAGAAACAAAGTGAGCTCAAGGGCAGCCTGAACTGCATAGTGAGACCCTGTCTCAAATAGACAAGAAAGAAAGAAAGAAAGAGAGAGAGAGAGAGAGAGAGAGAGAGAGAGGGCGGGCTGGGGATGTAGTGTGTAGTGCGAAGGTCCTGGGTTTAATCCCTAGTACCATGCACGCACGCATGCGTGCAGCATTTTAGTATTCCCATTTTCATTTCTTTCCACCCCTTTCCCAAATCTCTCAGTGTTTTGGAACGTAATTTCTATTTTCCCCTCCTGCCCCTGTAAGACCCTGTCTCAAAAAGACAAAAAAAAAAAAAAAAAAAAAAACAACAGATATAGGCAAACATTAAGGAATGAACTAGGCTGTCCTGCCTCTAAAAACTGTGAAAGGCATTAATTGAATAAATGACCTGAGTAGGAATTTTCTTGATTCCAGAAGTTAGTAAAAAAACGAGGTCCATTAAAAAAGAAAGAAAATCCCTGAGCATGTTTGAACTTTCACATGCATTTGGCTCAGATTCTAACAGGACAGCAAATTGTTTCTTTACCAGCATACTAGGGATTATAGTTGTCATTTCAGAATAAATAGGGCTAGATGTAGAGGAGAGATAATTAAATGTATTCATCTTATTTTTCCTACAACAGTTTTATACCCCACATTCATTCCTTTCACCAAAACAAAACTGAAATGCCAAAATATTACTTGAATTTTCAGGAATCACATACACCTAAATCCCCTCTAAGAGACCAGAAACGGGGAAGGGGACGGGTCCTAAATGGAAGTCTAGCTTCAACCATCTTAGCTCCACACCCTAAATATTTAGTGACTTTTTTTTTTTTTTTTTTTTGGTACTGGGAATCAAACTCATGACCTTGCACTTGCTAGGCAGGCGCTTGTGCTGCTGATAATTTTTTTTTTTTGTCTTTTTGAGACAGGGTCTGGCTATGTAGTTCAGGCTGACCTTGAGCTCACTTTGTAGCCCAGGCTAGTCTGGAACTCAGAATGATCCTCCTGCCTCAGCCTCCCGGGTGCTGGGATTACAGGCCTGCACCACCACGCCTGGCTCACACCCTATATATTTAAACTCTCAGGCAGCTATAACCTTTTGAAATTACTCCCATTTGCTCACTCTTTCTCACATCTTTTAAGCTGCAGCTGTAGTCTGAAAATTCTCTATAAATGTAAAGATCAACCAATAGGTACTCTGGTTCAACTTTTTGGACTACCGGTGAGAGAGCTGGAATTAATAATGGAGCAGCTGGAGCCCAGAAAGCATGGGAGATACTAGAATGTCAGTTTCCTTACATCAAACCTAGTGCCCTTTCACAGCAGGCTGAGGGGATGAAAGTGCAAGGAAATCAGGACGATGGATGAAAAGAGGAAGAAGATGGGATGCTGGACCACCCGCCTAAGATCTAATGCCAGAACAAGCATACGAGAAACACTGCACTGGACACATAAGGACCTTGCTCTGATTTTGACCCTGCCTGCCGTTCAGCCCTTAATCTTCATTACCTTGAGTAACTCATTTTGCTCCTTTGTAAAATAGGGGAAATGTCACTGTCACTGACGTGGAAGGGCTAATGGGACACTTAACTGATGTAATGCCTGTGAGAGCACTGTACAAGAGGCATGATTCTAGCCAAGTATCGGGGCACATGCCAGTAATCCTAGTAGTCTAGGAGGCTGGGGCAGGAGGATTGCAAATTAAAGCCCCCCCTAGGGAATTTTGAAATTTACCAAGACCTATCTCAAAAAAAAAAGAAAGAAAAGGCCAGATGCAGTTTGACTGTCATGTCTGTTTCTGCCAAAGAAACCCAGAGGTGAAAATGAGGACCAAAGTCCTTCCTGTAAATAATTGAAGTAATTTGAGTCATCTAAAGCTGCCTGTGATGATTTCTAACTGGTAGAGCAGGAAATCTGAGTTAATCCCCCTTGTACAATCTCTAGGTGTTTCACTTCTTTCTCCTGTTTTACCTGTTCTTTATTAACATACACAGAATTTATAGGAGCAGAAATCCTACATTTCCCTAGAGAAGCTTTTGCTGGTGGTATTATAGATAGCTAAGTTAGGTGGACATATTATAGGCAGTCAGATAGGGCTGGGTTCTCCAGAGGTCAGTGGAGAAGACATCTGTGGCTAGAGGAGTATTCACTGAAGGCCAGGCTTCAGGAAAAAGAACTACTCAGCCATATACTTCCCCTGGGCATGAATAGCGGTGATTGATATTCTTTTTTTATTTTATTTTATAGGTTTTTTTGAGACGGGCTTGCTATGCAGTTCAGGCTGCCCTTGAGCTCACTTTGTAGCCCAGGCTGGCCTCGAACTCGCAACCATCCTCCTGCCTCAGCTTCCCGAGTGCTGGGATTACAGGCGTGCGCCACCATGCCCAGCTAGACAACACTTCTTGATCTTCTTTTTTTATTTATTTATTTATTTTTTCTTCTGGGAATGAAACTCAGGACCTTGTACTTGCCAGGCAGGCGCTTGTGCCACTAAGCTATATCCATGGCTTGCTCTTCTTATGTTTGCCTGATTGGTAGCACCTTTTTTTCCAGTCTAGTTTATTTGGAGAAGTAGCCTTTCCTTACTCCCTCCTTGCTATGCTAATGATGCCTTGGATATAAACTGATGTGAGTATGGAAAGCATAGCGCAGAAAGTGCTGAAGAGGTTTACAATAAAGTGCAGAGGTACTTTGTTATTTCATGGATGAGTTAAACAGGTACATGAAGTTATTTGCTTCTGCTAATATAAAAGAATTAATGACAGATTAGAAATTAAAATTTACTTGGTTAAAATGGCCAAATTGGGAGCCACTCCCTTCCTCTTGCAAGTTGGAGAATCCACTCACAGGCATGTTAATAATTTAAATATGACTACTTAAAATTGTGTGTCACTTTACACAGTGCTGCAGTGAGAACAGGGTGAGGGTATTACAGTGATTCTAAGACTTCCTCATATCAGAACCAGTTAGAGGATTTTTTAAAACCTAGGTTGTGGGCCATGCCCTGAATGCAAAGATGACCACTGGAGATCGGTCTGCCCCCTGAAGCAGAGGCCCCAGAGCTCACACCCATCTTACCAGTTAGTCTAACAGGAATGAGGAGGCCGGCGGCGTACTCTGCCTTCTCCCTCTGGCCAGACTGTCATCTCCATGGAGGAGCCCTGGGTAATCATGACTATGGAGGAACAAGAAAACAGCCTGTTGCTAGACACAGATGCAAGTCTCTTAGTCCTTCTTTTCAGTCCTGGCCTTCCTTCCAGCCGTCACACCTCAGTGACAGGAGTCACTGGAGAGGAGGTAATATGCTGTTTTTCACAACCCTTAGGCTATAACTACTTGTTAGATCTTTCTTGCGTATCTCTGTCTTCCTGAGAAACCACTTTGAAGATACCAGCATGTATTACAGCAGCCATTGATATTTTCCTACTGA